CGCAGTCTTCAACACACATCTTCGCTGTAATGCAAGATATCCGTCGGGAATAACAAGAAAACTGCGTTCAACTCATGAAAACGGGGCCTACGATACACGAATTCCTTTCTAATGCCAGAAAAAGAATCTGATAACTAGAACGCTTTGATATTTGATAATTCGTGCATTCTGGGCGCAATGAACAATCAGGTATGGTTATTACTCACGTATAGTGTATACGTTGTTGTTTGTTGTAGCGTTTTTCCCCCCATTCAACCCTCTCCTACGACCGGGCACAGCCTCAGGCCGGGACAAGCTTTAAAGCTCTGACGCATCTTAACAGCATTTGTTGCAGTGTAAAGCATGTAGTGTAAGCGTGTGTAAGTACGGGATCGATAGCATAAGTCGCGATCTGTGGCACCGTTTGTTCGGACATGTTACTAGGCGTTAATTAATTAAACAATAACAAAGTTGGTCGCGATCGACGGAAAAATACCGATCAAGAAGCAGCCGGCCGCTAGAATTCTCCTCCAACCGGCTATTCGCTCCTATCTAGTCTCAGTGTACGAAAGTCTACGAACCGTCGGGACTCTAACTTTAGGAGCTCCCGGTCAGAGGCATGCGTGACAACAGTTTGTTGCCCTGGAGCACCTCAGCAGCGTTAGTTCTTTTAGACGTACAATTACATTTTTGCGAGAGTGTCTTCAACTGCTTACTGCGGTGGCAGAAACGATCAAAGTTAGGTCCCAGGACGTAGCAGCTTCACTATCTAAAACATTAATTTACAAAGTCGAAATATTTGCAGCTGTTTTCCAACCCTATTTCTTTTTTAAAGACATATTCTTTAGCATTGTCTACAATGAAAAGTATTTTATTACTGTTAACATTTCCTAAAAATAAAAGGTACGGTCATTTAGATATATATTTTTAGTGTGTTTTAAGAACAAAGATGAACTATAAAGAAGAGAACGTTTATTGCATATTGAAAACACTGGCAATTTTGAAAAAATATGGTTTCAGATGAATGCACGTAACGTCTCATACCAGAGTAACCAGCTTTGTGTTAAACATCCACATTTGCATGCACATGTATATTGTGGAATATCAGAATTCGACTAGCAACTAATATTAAGCCAATGCCTCACTCTTCATATATTTCGCAACTTGGTACACATGAAATAAAACAACTCACCATTGATCCTGCAGAATGAAAATGAAATTTGAGGTCTCTAGGTGACTCATTCTTTATGCATTAACAAGGAACGAATACGACGCACACTGAACGCAATTTCACACAATCAAATAAAAGAACGCATCGCGTACTTTGGTCGTTTGGCATTTCAAATGTCCTTCACCCTTAATGTTGATGTTTCAATAAGAAACAAGTGGTGAATTAACAGCAGCGGTCCTTTCCTTGTACTGTTGTGCAACGGTAACGATAATTATACTAGAGTCCACTCGTGTAATCTAGAGTCACTCAGGTAAATACTAGAGTCACTCGCGTATACCTGAGTCACTCGCGTATACTAACGGAGTCACTCGGACGACTCGGATACTAAGTGTCACTTCGCGTATACTAGTGTCACCTCGCGTATACTATGTCACTGGTAGTTCACTCGCGATATACTAGTGTCACTCCGGTATACTAGTGTCACTCGCGGTATACTAGTGTCACTCGGATATAGTGTCATCATACTGTGTCCGCGTATACTAGTGTCACTCGCGTATTACTAGATGTTCACTCGACTGTGTCACGGTATCGTCACTGTTTAAGTCACTCGCGTATACTAAGTGTCACTCGCGTATACTAGTGTTCACTCGCGTATACTAGTGTCACTCGCGATAATAAGTGTCACTCTCCCGTTAGTGTACTGATTTTACTATGGTCACTCCGTTCATGTCACCTAACTAGTGTCGACTCGCGTAACTAGTGTCACTCGCGTATAACTAGTGTTCACTCGCGCTATATGTCTGACTAGTTGTCACTGCGCTATACCTAGTGTCACTCGCTATACTAGTGTCCATCGCGTACACTAGTGTCACTCGCGTATACTAGACGTCACTTCGCGTAATAGTAGTTCTACTCGCGTATGTGTTTCCAATCTTCTAAAATCAGAGACGCTTTTTCCAAATTAGAAGCGGTCTGCAACAAACCCTAAATCTCTTTGAAAAATTTTGTTTGTGAAACCTCTGTGTATGGGTTGGGCTCTACTTTTGTCATGATGACCGACAGATGGAGGGACGAACGGGCGGACAGAGGTTTTAAAAAAAACATTTTCTCTGTCAAGAACTCTCTAAAATGTATATTCTGAAAATACTGCATATAGTTGTACGTCAAATAAGTATACAACGTATAGGGAGGCAGAAAAAATTACTGTTTCTTCTTCGTTGTGAGACACACAACTGTTATTTTAGCAAAAAGTAATCGACATTTCTTTCTGTAGCTTTAAAATACTTTGAACAGTCTACATAAACCAGAAAATAAATAAGTTTATTTTTTTAATATCACTTGTCTCTCGTGACAAGTACACATTTTCTGTATTAATGAAAATATCAGTATCTAAATCTCTAGAATATTTACGAAGATAAAAAACTGAAAATTGCATAATTGATTTGAAATGAAATATAATATTCAGTTGGATGGATTGGACATTAACTGCTTAATGTCATTACATTCATGGTATGTCCTGACACCCCTAGTTTCATTCAGAGCGTGAATAGGCACAAAACATCATCATACAAAAATAAAATTCCATCTCATTTTTCAAACGTTTAACTTCATGACAGAAACAACGCAATGCCAACAAAGAAAACGAAGCCTTTGTTTGAGGAGCAGTTTTAGCAGTGAGAAGCTCGCAAGAAGCCCTTGTCGTATTTCTCACGCGATACGATTAAACGGAAACAAAAACAAAAGCTCACAAAGGGAGGCCAACCCTCGGGCCGTCGTTGTTGATACATCCCACGCACTCCGCTCTCCCTGAGCCGATCCTGCTCGCCGGGGCCGCTGAGAGGGTCATTAGGGGAGGACAAACGCCGCGTCGCCCTGCGCGCCCTTCCGCCCTGCGCAGTGCACCGCACATCGCCCCCGCTCCTCTGAAGAGCGACCTACCTCCAGATCCGTTTGTTTCCTATTTTCGCGTTTCAATATTACACGCATTGTATGGTCAGAATTACTAGTTTCGAGAAAACTAAACTTGAAAGTTCGTAAGGGTGCAGTTACATATGGAACAGCAATGTTTGCTTTCTGGGATAAATTGAATGATCTCTCTTGCGTCGACTCACCTTATTTTGTACACTAGGCAGATTTTAACGAGATGCATTAAAATGCAATTAACTCAAAAATTACCATGAGTAGACATACAATGTTTGTGTACTAAACACTACTTAACATACTTCATCATGCTGCCACAAACTCTGTTAGCGAATTTAGTTTTTCCTCTGTTCAAAGGTATCCAGAATACCTAGAAAAAATCTTGAATTCTTCAGATAAATTTAAATTCGTTCAATTCCCAAAAGATTGTATTTAATGGAGATTCGTCACTTAAGAAATACACTATTCACTTCGACACCCCATTATCGTCGAGTCGAGGTCTGGTTTCTGAGACGCCTGGCAAATAGAATATTGTTTTTGTTTTTCAAATTATATCTGTTTCTGTATCAATATATCCCTTATAAGTAATTTTTAACTTCTCACATTTATAACGAGTGAAGTAATTATATAATCAATAATTTATAATTATTATAAAATATATTATGTAAAAATATGTTCACTTTTCCTTCAAAGATCGCAAAATGGTGGAGAAACAGACATTGGAAACTGTTCAGCGTGAAATACCTCTCAGATAAGCAAACATGTCATCATTTTCTAGCAAATAGAATTGAAGATTTTATCGCTGATTATCATAAAATATGCAACTGCAAGGGCTCAAAATGTTATCATTATCATATCATTATTATAATTATTATCAATACGTTATGTTTGTATTAGTGTATTTATTAATATTGTGCATATTAATCGCGCAATGTACTTTTGTGGCGAGCGGAAGTTCATGAGCTGTGCTGGCGTTTGTGCAGATCTGAAGTCGGGCCAGGGGCTGACGCTGGCGCCACAGCTCCGCTCGGCGCAGGTGTGCCTCAGCCAGGACTGCATCCTCTCAGGTAAATGAACGACGCCGCTCCAGCGCCAACGACGCGCCACAGCCCGCTGCGCCCCCGCACTCGCTCCCACCCACGCCCTCCTCCGGCCCCGCCCGCCCTCCCAGCACCGCTCGCTCGCGTTCCCCCGCCCGACCTTTGCCTCGCACCCCCATCCCCCCGCTCCACACGCTTCCGCCCTGCCTACACCACGCCCAATGCCCCGCCCAGCCTCCCTCTAGCGGTCATACGTTTTCCTCGCCCACTATACCTGGCTATCCCTCCCCTTCCGTCTCGTTCGCCCCACCGCACCGTCCGCCTCCACCTCCCTCTGCTCCGTCTGGAGCCTCACCCTTTGCTCGTCCGAAGCCCCTCCCTCGGTCCCTCGCCTGCCCCAAAGCGACATTCCCATCAGCCAACTCCGCGACCCGCTTCACCCCCCTCCCGCTATATTCTCTGCCTCGCCTCCTACTCATTCCTGCTACCGGCCCCGCAGCACTCCTACTACACACGTGCCCTCCCCCTCCCGCTCCCCGTGCCCGACGCTCACCTCTCGGGCCACGCCCCCCGCTGCCGGGCCCGGTCCCTCGGCGGCCCAGCTTCTCGCCTCCGGCCCCGCCCCCGCGCTCCGCAGCGTTTCCCCTCCGCTGCGACGCGTCTGTATCTCATGCTTTTTCAAAACGTCGTTTCGGCTACTTTCGCTCCCTTTTATAAGCCGTATATTTTAACCCTCCTGAAATACGACGCAACCCCTTGTGGCTGAAACGCCCCCCCCCCCCCCTCAAAGAGAAACTGATTCTGTCCTGAAGATTCATGAAGCAGGAATTGAATATAGATAAACATCTTGGGAGGAAGATTAAACACATTTTTGTTAATTTTTCCTTGCTTGGTGACTTTTAGATACATTTTAAGAAGTCAAAAAAAGGAGTGAAAACTGTTAAATGTGTGTCTGAAATTATCTAGAGAATCCTCGTGCCTTCAAGAAAATATTTCGTTTCGACATGCTTTCCATCAAAGGCAGCATCGGAAACAATGAATACCATTAACTTCTGGTTTGATGATCAGAATAATATTCATACACTTGTTTGTTTTTCTCTTGTACAAGAATATGTAAGTCGTTCTTTCCCATTACTCTATATCTTTACAATCTACCAATTTTCCAAATATAAAAGATAGTTGTCTTTACTAAAAATATAACGCTACGAAATTTTTAAAAAAGTAACGATGATGTACTTTTCTTATTTCATAACTAATTTTAGATCGATTGTATTATCTTTGAACTTTTATTCTCAACAAACATCTCCGGGTCAATAATTACCGAGACACGTTGAGCGACCATCCTTTTAATTAAATAATAATTCCAGATATTGGTGATAATTTTTAAAAAATCCAACTTGTCCGCATGTTTATTCACAATTGTTTGTTCAATTCCCTTTTTATAATGGAGTACGTCGAAGTATGACTGAAATGAATTTATTGAAGTCATTTGGAACATTTAGGTACTATCGAGAATGTCTCCAAGTAAATCGTTAAAAATAATTTCTTTCTTCGAATGTGATTTTATTAAATTCTAGTCATAGTGGACATAAATGAACACGCAATCTCATTGTCATAATAAATCTGTAACCAACACATCACATGCAAACAAGTGTGAATGCAGCGTTTGTCTTTTCACCCAAACTATTATCCGCATTTCTGCTTTCAGTGAAGTGAAGGAGATCAATGGGGAAACTCATTTGGTAGTGTACAGGTTTAGTGTTAGTTTTCATACATTTATAGACATTTTTGGTTTAACCAAAAATACCCTTCTTAATAGTCTTCCAAGAAGTAATTGTTCAGAATTTGCATTAAAAGTTTGCAATTAATTTGAAGCTGCAATAGAGAATGAAATAAACGGTATCAATTACGCAAAACTTACTGATTGGCATTATAAGAATTAGAGATTCTTGAAAAAATAAATAGATATGTTTAGAATTTTTCGAGGTAAACGACTTGAATATACCTCGATACCAGAAAAATTCAAGTCGCAATACTCGCGAAAACCTAAAAGTGAAGATATACAAATAGGAATAAAGTATTTCAAAATATCATCACAATACACTGAGGATAAGAGTTGCAATAACTTTCCCTAGAACTTCATTCATCAATTCTAATTAATGTGAACGTTCCAATGGACATTTTTGGTTACCCCGAATCAAATTTAACGATTTTCTATTTTATTTCAATCGAGTATTTTTCTTATAATCCGATTAATCAATTTATTGGAGTACCTAAGAGACCCGTTACCACAAATTACGTGATGTACGTTTCTCAAAAGACTTATCAATGATTTTTCAATTTAACGCACGCGGCATTTTGGAAATTTTAGAGCATACGCCGCTTTCGCCCCAAGCTCTCAGATTACCAGCGCGAATCCCATTCTCCTCGGCGAATGAAGGGTCTTGCGGCTGATGCAGCCGATGACGTCGACGCCGCAAGGGACCAGGACGGAGCGGCCGCTTGGGAGAGGGCAAAGATGGAGGGAAGAGAGAGGCGGCCGTGAAACCCTGCCAGTGGCGCGGCTCCGAAGAGAGTCGCTGGATGCGGCAGCTGATGAAGATGGTGAAGTCCACGGGGGGAGGCGGTCGCTGGGGAACGGGATGGGATCCAAGGCATTTTCCAATACCCTTCCTTCCTCTCACACGAGAGAGTTGATGAAACTATAGCACCGTTAAATAGTATTTCTTTTTATATGCATCGAGCGTTTTTTCGCGATTCTAGCATGTTTAGTGCTCCAAAAATATTAAACATAGGATAAATTAAAAAGTAAGTAATAAAAAGCAAACACGAAAATAGAGTAAGGACAGCATAATAATAACAAACACATAAATTAAAATCATACCTTGAATTATATGGATCGTAAACAATCGCGAAACGGTGTCAATAGATCAGTCATTTAAGAAAAGCTCTCCCCGAAACGGCTGAAAGGTGGAGGGGGTATCAATAGAAAAAGAAAGGAGTTAATGTAGACGTAAGTTGAATAACTTCGAGATGGGTAAAATATCAGGGATGTTTTCATTTAAATTGGAGATTATGCAATTAACTGATCGGTCGAAGGTAGAACCTAAAACCTCTCCCTGTTTCAGAATCTTGATTTTCAAGGTAGTGGAGAACCCGTAGGATAAAAGTTGAGCTTTTATACAATGGAGACTGACTATCAGGAATCATCCCACTCACCCTTGGCTTTCAACAGTTTTAGATGGAAATAGCGTCATTCGCGGCGTACGCGGGAGACAGACGTCTTTGTCATCGCCACTCGAGCGCCTTGAACCATCGGCAAAAAGCGTGACGCAGACCCCAAAGCGAGCGGATGCCTATCGAAGCCTGGAATCTGAGCTCCCCGTCAGTGCCTTCATTCTATTCATGGTCTCTAGCAAGAAGGGAAAACACGAGTGGCAAATAGGAGCAGTGGCAACTTTTCAGTCCATCTTAACCATTCAGAGGGATGATTTTCAACATTTTCTTCAGAGCTGATGTAAAATCAGTGCACCAAGACCAAGTGCATGAATTAGCAGGGCAAAAAGTGATTTAATTAAAGGAAGAAACGTTTTATTTGCCTTATGAGTTTACTCTTGGAATCCTACAAATAAATTTACTATACTGTATATTTATATACAGTAAAGTAAATATATAATTTTATAATAATTATATAATTTTTTTTAAGAAAACGTTAAGAACGAAAACGTCGTTTGCTGATTATGTGTGTACAGAAATGCTACCGTTGATAATCAGTTTTTTTTATTTAGTGAGAGTGAAGTGAAACAATTGCGCAGTAAATATTCGTAATTTTATTTTAAAGAATGGCAAAAGTAATACCTTGAGTCGATGTACGTATTTGAAACCAAATTTACTTTGAGAGAGTAATAATGAATTATTCATATCCGAGATGCTTCGTTACTATTTTCTTTTCTTGGGCAATTATCTAATTGATTTTCAGGCACTACAAATATTATGAAATATTATGAAATCAATACGACCGCAATAACATAGGAATGATATAATCACATTGACTACAAATAGGAAATCAGTATCCCTTGTCAGTCATACAAATTATTGTAGTTGGTAATTTAAGCGTCCCCCTCACCAAATGATTTATCATTTATATACGATGTCGATGGGGAAGGTTTTTAGTTCATTTCCTAACACATTCCGTAATAGTGTTTCATTAAAGAAAAGGTTTCTTAACATAACTGATCTCCAAATATAACATACTGTACCCGCGCACTTCCCTACACATTCTTATCAATAGCTGTTCATTAAAATTCTCTCTTGTGATTTCTTTTCCACGACAATCCAGTCACGCCCACACTTAGTCTGTCTCTCTTCACCTGGATGGCACGACCGACCGCTTTGCTCCCCGCCCTCGTAACATCCCACATTTGTAATATCTGAGCGATCCCCCATATCTATCATAAGTACGAATGTTTAACCAATTACAACCAGTTACAACGATTAATCTATTATCAGACTTTGTATATTCTTATTTTTCTTTGTTCGTTTTAAATATATTAGGTCGAGCATAATTTCTTGTTGAACCAATTCTCACAAAATACCCTGTAAAAGAAGAATTATATTTTTTTACTATGCCACATAGACGGATAAGGCTGTGAAAGCTGAAGACGAAAAATGCAAATTCACTTAAATTGTGACAACTGATCCTCGATTTCAAGAGACGTATTGAAGATGAAGCAATCGCAATTCTCAGATTGGAGAAAAATTCATTTCAGAGTGCCCGGCCAACAACTTATCGACGCTTAATTTTAAGATGCGTTAGTTAATAAATAAAAATAACAGAATATAATACAGATATTTGTAAGAAAGAGGAAGAAGAAAAAATAATAAAAAGATTGTATGTTGACTTCCGAATATTCGTTATAATTGCCTTTCCTCCGAAATAACTCTTCGACGAGTGGCATTTTATGAGTTTTGCAAAGACGTTCACAGAACGAGACTGAAGAACACTAACGACGGATTAAGGGTGACCCGTCGGTTTAAACATAGCAGCATCATTGTGAATGCTTGTATTCTCTAAGTGTCGTGAGACAGGGACGCGCCCACAGAGAGCGCAATAGAACGATGCCGTTCCGGATTCGTGGGTATCATTGCCAGCAAGCCCATCCGGTCCCCGGGGCCCCAAGTGCGCCCCTGCTTCCTTTCTCTCCGGGATGAGAAACGCCACCCGCGCGCGGCCCGAGAGAGAGAGAGAGAGAGAGAGAGAGAGAGAGAGAGAGAGAGAGAGAGAGAGGGAGGCGCGAGGCAGAGGGCGAACGAGGGGCGCTGATCTCGGCGCTCTAATTGCGAGCCGGGCAGGTGCGTTCGCTCGGCGCCGCTCAGTCACGCCGCCGCCCCCGCGGCCCCGCACCCCGGCGGCGCTCCACGGCACGGCAGCGCCCGACTCGCCCTGCAGTCCCTCCAGCACCCACGCCAACAGTGCCCGCTGCTACGAGGATTCTTCTCACCCTCCCTGCCTTTCTCTGACCACTCACATCCCTCAACCCTTCTCGCCTCTCTCTTATACCTCTTCTTCACAACATCGTCACCCTCTCCGCCTCATATCCCTCTCTCCGCCTCAAACCCCTCTCTCCGCCTCATACCCCTCTCTCCGCATCATATCCCCCTCTCCGCCTCATATCTCTCCGCCTCAAATCCCTCTCTCTGACGCCTCAAATCCCTCTCTCTGACGCCTCAAATCCCTCTCTCTGACGCCTCAAATCCCTCTCTCAGACGCCTCGAATCCCTCTCAGACGCCTCAAATCCCTCTCAGACGCCTCAAATCCCTCTCAGACGCCTCAAATCCCTCTCTCTCTCTCTCTCTCTCTCTCTCTGATGACTCAAATCCCTCTCTCCGCCTAATCTCCCTGTGTTCCCCCTCATTACTCGCCCTACCTCATATCTCCCTCGTCACTCTATCATATCGGTATCTAGTCTCGTCATCTTCCTTCCTTATCTCTCCCGCCACTCCTCTCGCCACCTCGTTTCTCATCGTTTCCCGCTCACCACCCTCTCC